GTGGAAGGGGGGAGACATGACCCAAACAATGTATGCACATATGAATAAAATAAAATATTTTTAAATGCAAAAAAAATAACTAACACAGAAGTCTGATGGAGTACTTTTGGTGGTAGAGAATCTACCTAGCAAATTCATGTTCCTGATTTCAACCTCCAGTACCACACACAAAAAAATAAACACTTGTAAGAGATTGAAGGGGAGGACCACAGGGTGTTGATTCTGCTCATCTCTTCCTGTTGGGTTGTTACTACTTGCCAATTCTCCTTCCTTGGCAGATACATCCTGTTAGAAGTTCTCAGTTTCCTTGAGTTTTTCTTCTCTTTATTTCTGTGTTCTGTGAAGTTTATTGATTCCAGAGCCAAATGAATTCTATGTAAGTGCTCTACCAATAAGCTAATCCCCAGCCTCTCTTGGCCTTTGTTACTGCTCCCCTACTAATGATAAGAGCGTGACATTCTTGTTTATTCCAAGGTGCTTGAACTTTCTTAGTTGGATTCCCCTAACTCTGTCACAGCTTCATAAACAACCCCCTTCCTTACATTCTCAATTACCACATTCCCTTCTCCTGTTAAACCATCCTGATTGCTCAAGCAGGAAATCCCCTCCCCCTGATGAGCTCCCACAATTCTTACTGGTTTCTTTGTATAATGCACTATGTACTATGACTTGATGAAGATATTTGGTACATTCATATTTGCAATTCACACCTCCACTGTGTACTTGCAGGGGGCAGAGTCCATGCCTGACTCATCTTTGATTCTCTCATTCTATTTGATGAGTCTATGTAACAGGTGTTTGATTATCTGCACAAAGAATGACTGAAAAGATGAATCAGTGCCTGATTAAATACATAAATACATCACTTGTTAGGTTTGTGTGGGTTTAATTGACTCTCCTGCACAATCCTTGGTGTCCTGTCACCATAATGACCTAATGGTAAAGCTCTCTTTCTTGGTTCATTCAAGATCAGGAAGAGAAGGTAAAAATTTTCATAGAATACAGCTAGCCACAAATCCAATTGTGTCTCAATGATGTCTGCATCAAGAATATCCTCACATCATGGCTTAGAGTTCCAGTTTGGCTGTCCCTGGACCTGGCTTAGACATAGGAATAGTTCTTCAGGTTTTCTGCAATTTCTTTGAGACTCTTTTCCTCAGAGTTTTGCCACCAAGTCTTTCCATTCATTATAAAAAATATTATATTTCATATTTGCTGGGGGATATCTAAAAGAAAACAACCAACCATGCTGTCATGTATGGAGTTAATTTTGCCTGCAGACAGCACAGTGCCTCTGGAAATTCCTCCCTTCTTCACTTTCTCATAACTATCTCAGGCCATTCACAGCTTTGATTGATCTCTTTGGGGTACAGCCATCATCCTGACCACTTTTTTTGGTACCATAAATTGCATGGAAAGAGAATGATGGGCCCAATGAATGAGTCCAGATCAGAGTTGAAAAGTAAACCCATCTTATTTTCAGGTGCTCTTAAATCCTCTATCTCTAACTTCTACCAAATCTGTTTCCCACTTTTCTTCAGGGGCCTAATTCCTGAATCAGAGGAAGAAACTTGATGTGTGCTGGTGGTGTCTGACCTGAATGGGTGACTAATCCCAAGGGTATTGACATTTAGAGAAACATTACCATTATTTTGGAGAAATTTTAATACTGTAGCCTCAGAGCCAGAGGGAGGAGTAGAGGTGGGAGATGGGCACTTCATCCCTGATGATACAACTCCTCCCCTTCTCTGGGCACAAGCTGAGCAACTAACACAGTGTTGGGCAGAAATGAGGGGCCTGGGGGTAGCTGTTGTAACTGTGATCAGCAATGTGTGTTTCCAGGGATGCAGAATGAGGCTCACATGGCAATTGTGCACATGCAGAACTTGTGAACTACTTGCTTCCAAGTGCCCACTCAAAGTTCCAGTATCTGTGCTTCAACCTGGTTGTCCAGAAAGATAATCATATTATTTAATGAGTGAAGCAAAGTCAACACTGTTGGAGTCTTTCCTCTGATGGCCCCTTCTGTGCCATACACTAACTCTTCACATACAGTATCATTAAGAATTGCATGGGATGTTTTAGGAAGTGACTGTTTACCAATTAGTGGGCCATGCTTCTGTATGTTAACGACTAGTGCAGCTGAGCAGGGTAAACAGGCTTAATTTCAACCCTGCTCTCATCTTAACCAGGTCAGGGATCCTCAAACCTTGGTGTGCAACAAAATCAGCACAGTGCTTGAAACCAATTGCTCAAATGATTGGGAAAACACTGTGTGATGATGAAACACAATCAAACTTAAGAGATCCCTGTGCCCTCCTAAATCTGGGATCTCCAGGAAACTCCAGGGACAACATTTGTCCAAACACCTACAAGTTCTTGGAAGGAAGGTGAATGCAAAGAGCCACTCACAACAGCTGTTTCCTCCAGATGTATGTAGGGAACATGAGCAGCAATAGCACTGTGATCACAAGGATTGCAGTCATCATGATGGTGGCAATAAGGATGTTATTCTGCAGGAACTGCAACAGCTGCATGCATTACAGACTCTTATTTTGAACATCTAAATGAGGAGACACAAGGCAGGGTAGACACTGTAGTGACCCCATGTACATCCCTGCCGAATGACCCACAATGACCACATGAAGGAACAAACTAGTCGTTCTGCTCAGAACAGGAATGAAAATACTAGTGTTAGTCACTGGCCACAGCAGTATTGTTAGGGAAGGAGCAGGATTTGTTTAGGGTAATATATTCATAACCTGCCCACTGATAAGTGAAAGGCTGAGGGTATTGCTATGTGCTGGTGTGAAATGTTGTGGGCTGGTGTTGAGAGTTCTTGCCTTCACAGGTCAAGGAACTGGCTTGTGAAGCAGCTAATTGACTTGTGACACAAGTTAGAGAGAAAGGAACGGTTACAGCTAGAGCAGTGCAGAGAAGCCTGGAAACTGATGGCTCCCTGATCAGATGAAGGTTGGGGCTTTTTATGTACACTTTAACTCTGGGTTAGGGTAAGGGTTAAGTGCATTCTTTCCATTGGCCATGGACTCGTGGGCTCTCTTAGATGCCCCTTATGGGGGGGGGACAACCTTGAGGGCATTCTGTTTATAAGCCCTGTGGCAGATTTATGAGACCCTGTATCTCCTCCTCAGGGTGCAGGAATGCAGATTTATGAGTTCCTCAGGATGCAGGGCCCATAGTGCTTTCCATGGGGGATTGGATACTGACTCACTCATCTGTCCTTTATGTCCCCAGACCCAACAGTATGAGTTGGCAAGCAGCAAAGAAGCCAAAAATTGTTTCAACAAACCATAATTTGTAGTTGGTGAGAACAGAGGAGAGTTCATGTGGGGACAGTAGGCCTGTAGAGGTGAAAAGTCCTGCTACAAAGACTTTTGAGAAAAATGGAGGTGGGAGCCTGGGGTGTAGGCCAGTGGTACAGCACATGCCTAAAATGCAATAGTTTATGGGTTCCAATTCCAGCAAAACCAAAAAAAAAAAATGTATACAAAACTCAAAACTCTCCCTCTTCTGTACACCAAGAGCTTCTGTAAATTCCAATGCATATACAATCTACCTATGGCTGTAGTTGTGCAGTTTAATCTTGCTTGTTAACTCGATTGGGAGATTAGTAAAGCACATGCTTTACTAATGTGTCTGTGAGGACATTTCCAGAAACAATTATCATGTGGGACAGATATTAAGAGGGAAAAACTCTCCTTGAATGTGGGCAGCCCTATCCCATAGGCTGGGAGCCTCGATGGAATAAACATGGATAAATGAGTAAGCCATCCAAGCATTCTCCAAATTTCTACTTCCTGGTGCCATGAGGTGAGCAACTCTGTTTCTTTCTACTATTCTGCCATTCTGTTGTGCCTCACATTGGCTGAGAAACAAGGCAGCCAGCAGACAATGGACTGAAACCATTAGCCAAAATAAATCTTCCTCCTTTAAATTGTTTCCCTCAGGTATTTGTTACAGCAACAAAAACTGACTAACGCAGTAAGTTTCAGGGGTCCATAACTGTTCCAAGCAGAGGAAATGTAATGCCAGAGGTGATTCCAAGCTCTTACAGAAATCCTGAGGTTGGCTTTGGAATGCCACTGAACATAGACTTGGGAGTTGAGGCAATCTTAGCTAGATTTCAAAAGAAGTAGATCCAGCTGACATAAGGGAGTTCTGGAGGTTCTGTCACTCCATTTGTAATGTGCCCAAAGTTGATGTAGCATCAGGGAAATAAGACATGGAGACACAATGATGAGAATCAGCAGGTTTGATGTAGAGACATGCTGCGTAGAGCAGGTGACACAGGGAATAAAGTGATGGTTGAGGGCCTTATTGGGTTATGGTGAGAAAGTGGAGCATGTCCACAATCTTCATCTGTGCTGTCAACAGGCAGTAGATAAGTGGTTCTAAAGCCTCTCTAGGAATACTTCAGTATTTAATTTCTGAAAGTTAGCAAGTTACAACTGGATATCATTTTGATACAGAGTGACTGTGCAGAGGGTGCACAGAACTTGGCACCAGCCTGGGCCAGAGATCAAGTGATTCAACAAGGAGAAAGATGTCAGACCCATCACCAACTAGATTTACTCTTAATAATTATCCCTCCTGCTTATTAGATAGCCTCAGTGTCCAAAAGTGGAAGACCATGATGCTCATGTGCAGAGTGACTCAACATGAAAGTAGCATGCTTGGCCTAGAGGCTTGGATCAATTGATAGAGCACCTGCCTGGCATGAGTGAAGCCCTAAGATGAAACCTCAGTAACAAAAACAACAACAAAAAGGGAGAAAGAAATAGTAACATCTTTACACAAAGATAGTCAAATTCCTAGAGTTCATTTAACTCAAATTCTTAATTTTAGACCACATGCTTTTGAAGGAGAATTTAAGATGTGCTAACATCTCTTCAGGTAAAATACCAGGAAAGGCTAAAGACATTCTAGAGTCATGTGTACTTGAGGATCTTACTGGGTTTGTGCTGTGAGGATTGTTACCTGGATTAACTGCTTCTTGAGGTGTTTCTTTAGCTTTGGTAGTCAATTGTTTTCTTACATATCTGTTGAAAACAGAGGATTCCTTAACCCACTTCTTCTCTAAAATGTGATCTACAAAGACAAAAAAATAGTATGCTACTATAGTTTGGTTCTTGAATGTCACCTAAGGCTCATGTGTTAAAGGCTTGATCCCCAGGTGGTACTATAGGAAGTTATGGGAACCTTTGAGAGGTGGGGCCTAATGGGAGAAATGCAGATCACTGGGAGAATGCCCTAAAAGAGGACTGAGGACCCCTCTTCTCTCTTTTGCTTCCCAGCTATGAAGTGAGCAGCATTTCTCCACTGTAAATTCCTGCCATGACATGATGCCTTACCACAGGCCCAAAACAATAGGAAAAATCAGTCCTAAACTAGTACTTCCTGAAACTCTGAGTCAAAATAAACCTTTTCTGTAGATAAGTTGATTATCTCAGGTATTTTATTATGTTGACAGAAAGGTAACGTGTTCATCTACAAATGACCATTAGCCAATGATAAATTCTGTTTTTATGATGAAAGAAGAAATGAAGAGTTAAGGAAAATTTTGGAGAATAGTCTAAATATAGTATAGTACATCAGTGTTTTGGATGCATTGTTTTAATTTAACAAATTTCTGGGTCTTTAACCCATGCATGCCTGATGGTGGTGGTTCTCAAAGTGGAGTGATTCTAGATGACTGGGCAGGCTTGTTAAATTCCAGATTGCTGCGCCCTACTTCAGTGCTTCTGACTTTGGAGGTATTGGTGGGTTTAGGTAGGCCTGAGAATGTGCAAATCTCTCTGAGATACTGCTGGGGCTGGAGGCATGACTCAAATGATGCAGCACTTGCCTAGCAAGCATAAGGATTGGGTTCAAGTCACAGTACAGTTTTTTTAAAAAGGCTGGAGATATGACTGCCAGTCAGAGATGACACTTAAGAGGATCTACTGGGGGATTTCTGTCTGTTCCTGAACATCTCTGAACCCCAGTCTCTGTCTCCTTATATGAAATAGAAATAATAAAGCTTGGTCACAGATGGCATAACGTTCATGAAAATAATGTTTAAGCCACAAGTTCTACACAAAATGTTTCCCAACTTTCAAAGACATAAAAAGGAAACATGTATGGGTAGAGAAGAGTACAGAATTGTTTAGAAGAACAAAGACAAGGTGAATATGACAATTTCAAGCCACGAACCACACTAGAGGCCCAGGGTGAAAACATCTTTGAAACTGCAGCCTGAACTCTGACTTACTGTGGACTTTTCCAGCTAGTTAGAAAATCTAGGAACAAGCATCTGGAAACTACTCTATGTGATGTCTGCAAAAGTGTCTGCCTTAAAGGTCTTCAGGTGTCTTTAAATCTTTAAAATGAATGCAAGTTATGCAGACATGTCTGATGCCTCTCAAGGCTTCCTTCGTTCAAAGAACAGCACTGACTCCTGCTAGCTGCTTATCCTTCAGTCAATTGCTTAATATCAGTTACCACATACTGACCATAATAGCATTGGATATCTTGTGCAGTTAACTCTGCCCACCAAAGATACATGGCTAGATGCTCAGCCCCATGTTTCATGGTGTTTAGTGCCACAGTGCCATAATTTTCCTTCTTGTTCTAGGTGTCATTCCTCTAGAAGACTTTCCTCATGATTATCAGCAAGTAGGTGAAAATCGTGGGGTAGAAATAAAGCAAAACAAATGTCTAAAGGTCTTCTGTTATAAAACTGGCTGGGCTGTCCATTTGTGATTTTGTCCAACTATTATTGCAAATTGTGTGCTCATGATTATGAATGCTGTTCTTAGGTTGTTATTTCTGAAGTCAGCCAGTAGACCAACAGAAGTTTCCTTAAGTATCTCCAAAAAGGAGAAAAAAAGCCTTTTAAAATCTGCTCAACAGGGTTGTGAGGACCTTTAAACAATGACAAGGCAAAGTGACAGCCCTTTCATGATCTAAATGGAAATCACACCCTGAGTTTTGGAGGACAAAGTCCTTATTGCCAACCCTGGCACCAGGAAGCCTCACAGGAATATGGGCTGCTATCCACAAAGTTGTCTGCAACAGAGCTTGGGGTTGGAAAATAGGAGCCACAACATGAAATGCTGAAGTTCTCACAAAACTACTAACCTCTTCATCAAGATCATCTTGGATACTGCTAGTGTTAGACAAAAACAGTGTTCCAAAATAGCAACTTATGATAGTTGTTATCTGCTCTATTATTGTTTAAGTGAAGGGACAGATTCCTGGATCTTCCTTACCCTACCATCTTCCATCTGGACCCTAGTTTTTCTCAAATACTTAATGGGCATCTTGAATTAGCTCAGTATGAAGAGAATCACTGGAGAACATCCAAAATTATTGATGAAAAGATCCCCCCTCCACACACACACACACACACACACACACACACACACACACACTGGATCTGATTGCTGTGGATGGGGTGGAATGTCTCTGTCACAATCTCTGAGAGGATTCTCCTGTTCCCAGGTGGTGGTCCTGCTGCTGCTACATGGCTCCTTCTTTTATGAGAAAGATCCTTTCCAAATATTTATCTTCTACACATTGTTTTATTACTCAGGACTTTGGGATTTAAAGGAACAGACTCTAACCACAAGGCAAAGGGCTTCTCCTCCCCTTAAAGTAGCAACGTCGGAGTGACCTGGGAGACAACCAATGACAAACAGGAAACTCTGCAAATACATCCTGATGGTTTCACATGAGGCTGCAACTTACCAAATATTTTTGCCAAAGTGTTCTTATAGATCTTCCAAAATTGACCCAAATTCAGAATTGCTCAATTTTTTAGGATGGAGATGACCTATGGGAAGATAAACCTTAATTGTGATTAAATCTTTCATTGAATCAGCATGTATGTTTTTAAAAGTAATTTTCTGTAAGGTATATTGAGAGGAGCACTGGCCTGCAGCCACCTATTCTCAGTGTCACAAAACATTGGTGAAGTGACTATAAGAACCTCAAGTTCCAACACAATGTTAATTTTCATGTGGTTTCCTGACAAGTAAATGAGAAATGTATGCACATGGCAGCTTTAACTCTACAAGATAGTTTGTAGAGGATCCTATATGGAGTATGCTAAATGACATCAAGTATGACTCCTTTCTTCCAAGGAATGACAAATACTCTGTTCTCTATTAATGAGACATTGTTGAATCACTAGGAATGGATACACTTAACTTTACAAAGCACTCTACTAAAAATGTGTTCATCATATAGAGTCATCCAAGGGCATTTATTTAAATCTGGTAGAGAGTAAGCTAGCAAGGTCATACAGTAAAATAATCTGAGTTTTTCTTAATCAAGCAGCTTATGAAATACATTGGCATGCTCATTAGTTATAAAATTGCTTTACTGATGGTCTTATAATTTCAATACAGCACACATACCTAGCATATTCTGTTAATTAATGACTTATTTTCAAATTTCTTCATAATGAAAACAATTTATCTGTTATTTGTGGATGATATGGGACTGATATGCATGAGTTTTTTCTTTTGTTTTTCTAAATTTTTTTTCATATGTTGTTTGCTGGATTCTCTCCTGTGGCAGTCAAGCATAGGCTAAAGGAGAAATCAGCTCTGGTGTCCATAGCAAATGTTTTACAAAGGCAGAGTGTCAGTGGTGGGAGGTATGTGGAAGGCAATGATCTCCCAGGAAGTGAGTAGAGCACTTGTATGCAGTGAATTCAATAATACTCACGAAAGGAAAATTATTACACTATGTCTAGCATGTGCCTTGGAAGGAACAATGAGCCTCCCCACCAAGTCAGCTTCTTGCTTCTGAAAGACATCAGAGTGGCAGAACCCATCTGGCTGTGCCATCAGGGATTACCCCATAACACAGGGATGGTCACCTGACTCCATTGTTGGTGGACCATTATAGGAAGGATTTTAGACAGCTCTTTCCTTCACATCTCAATTTGGTACTGGCCAGCAGTCACTGGCTCCAGAATGTTAAATTGATAGCATCTGACACCTGACAAAATACACAGGCCTAGAGAAATGTGGGCACAAGGAGCTTCAACCACATGTACTTGCCACCATACACATTTCCCTCTGTAATCAGCTGACCAGATGATTTCAATTCATAATTCAATGCTCACTGGGAAACATCTGCATCAGTATTTCATCTCCAGGAAAGCAAAGAAAGGCATGTTAACACACAACACAAGATGGACATGTTTTACTCTGTAAGTACCTAAAGATCTCTCTGAATGATTGAATAAATGTGATGAACTTGATGAATATGGGATGCTATGGTCAGAAATGCTGCCTTGGCAAGGGAAACTCCAGCTACCTAAATCATTTCTGAAAATTGTATTTGCACTGGATAAGCTGCAGTTAACACTGTCCTCCCATGATACATGGCTAGAAACTCTCCCATAGATTTCCTATGTAGTGTCATAATTTTCCTCTCAATCATGGTGTCATTCTGACCCACCTCTGAGATCATTCCCAAGCTGACCTATGAATGAACAAGATTCACCTCATTTCTTTAAGACCTATTGTCTCTTCTGGAATCTTTCTGTAATGAGACCTGCAGATTGGTCTGCAGACAGTCCAAGGCCAAATCCTGATATTGTTGCTTGTGGAAACATGATATTGGACCAGTGACTTCACCTCTTTGCTCTTTCGTTCCCTTTCCAGTAGGCTGGGGATGCTATCCTTTAACTCAGAGGACTTTTGCACAAATTGAGTATAGTGATGTCTGTAAGGCATCTAACCCAGTGCCAGTGTGAAGTTCAGCTGAAGACAAAATGCCTCATTAACACTTTCTTAGATTGATAGCCCCCAGACCAGCTAGTGAGCTCAGTAGTTTCTGCTCATTGGAACCTTGTACACGAGGTATATATGGGTAAAGAAGAAGTATGATACAAAGTTAAAAAAATGATGTAGTTATCATAGGACAGAAAAATGATGTCGCCACTGTCACCACAGATTGTGCATTTCCATTGCATGCAATTCCTGTCTCTGTGGGGAGGTGATAGGTGTATTGAATAAGCTGCATGTTTGAGTTTGGCATAGCCCCAAATCTCAGAAGGGACCTAGTTATGCCCAGTAAAATCGCATGCTTGATTGGCACAGCCTCAGCTGCAGAAGTCGGCAAGATGCAGTACAGCTGTTTTTTCTTTTAATATTTACGTTTGGAGAGAAGCTGTCACAGGTTCCTCCTGTTCCTGAAAAACACAGTATCACACCCCCTCCCCCAATAAATGCCTCTCCACCTCATTTTATGACTGTGTATAATAAATGCACTGGAGGTGGATGAGGATGCTGTGTCTCCATCTGAGCACCAAGCCTACCTGGCCCCAGCTTTGTTCATGTTTGGTCTTCTGTCTGTTGTCTTTCCTACATCTCCCGTCATCCCCCAGTTAGGTTTCTAGGAAAAGCTCATGCAGTACTGGAGAAGTCTCCATCTGTGTTGAGTGACCATTGAAGACCTCAGATAGATGCTTCCTTTTCCACTCTCCCTGGTAGCCATGGCAAAGCCATGCAACACACACACCTGCTCAAAGATCTTCTGGGACCCAAGAAGAGTGTTGTTTCTCAGGATAGAAAACAGAAAGTAAAAAGTTGCTGAAGGTTCATTTCCTCATCTTTTTCCTCTTGCCTAGAAAGGTGCCATCTTACAACCAAGATACAGAAGCACCAGAAAATGCTTGGAGATTTCAGATAAACTCACCCTAATAGCCCTAGCTACTGCACCAAAGTTATTTTCAATAGAAGGAAAACAAATTGCTCTTGCTTAAGCCACCCTAAGTCAGGATTTCCAGTAATTGTAGCCAAGTGCCTTCTTAATGGGCAGTGACTATGGTAACATGTGGACTTCCTCCAATGAGATGACCCTGGCCACTCTACAGAGACCTAAGCTCACTTTCCTATGTATCATAGCACCTGTGTGGAGTGGGATAGAATGGAAGGCTGTGTATTCTTCACAGAGCAGGCTCTTTCTGAACCCACTTTGCACAGAAATTGTAGAAAGTGCTGGAGTTTCAGTGAAGAAGGCAACCTGGTATCTGGTCTGCATCTCTGAACCATGCAGATACAAGTGACAGGCACAGGTTTACACAGACATGACCAGACTGACACACCAACAAAAGAGAAGCAAAGCTAGTGCCAAGCAGACAGGAAAGAAGAAACCAGCTGGGCCCTGGCAGCTGGACTACAGGCCCATAGCTAAGCAGACTCCAGGAGGAAGTGGGCCCTGGAAAGGAGGGCTGAAGCTCTATCCACTTGACCACAGAATCTACTGAGACTCCCAGATGCCCCTGCCCACAGGTGCTGGGAGCTTGTATCAACTCTATCACCAAAAACATAATGTTGACAGTGTTCCAACAGTCCTCTTGGGCAAATGTGTTACAGTCAGGACAGCACGAAGCTGCCTTCTGGGGCTCAGTCTGAACCAAGAGCAAATGTGATGCCCACCCCATGCACTCAGAGTAGGACCACAAGAAAGAAGGGATCTGATCCTGACAATTCCATAATATTGGTAATGCCCAGGACCTGAAAAACCCAAACAGAAAGGCTATCTGTCCTCAAAGTATGTAAACTGATTCTGTAAGTTCAGAAAGTGCTTTGTTTATAAAACTAATTATTTGGCTACATTTTAAAAATATATTCATGTGTTCTTCAAAGATGGGAATAAATTCTACACTGCTAGGCAAACTCATCATTGTGTGAACATCACAGGGCATAGCCTAGGATACACCCAGGCTGCCACCATATGTGTGTGGTGTCACATTGACCAAAATGTCATTTAATGGCACATGACTGTATATTAAGTTCTGCTTCCTTTGCAAAGCTTTCAGGTTCCTACTTTTACCTGGGAAATAGCAGCTTTTCTTCCCCTTCTGGATTTTCTTTGCTAAGTAACAGAAAGCAATCATCACAATTCCCATTCTGTGTATAAATTCCATTCTCCGGGTGGAACAAGAGCTAACAACATACAGAAGGGGCCATCAGATTGACAAAGAAAACCGAGTCCTCCTCACCACACTCTCCTGGATGAAGGTGCTGACATACAAGTACCTGAAAATGTTGCTCAGATAACAACTGGCAAGTCAGGGAGCCCATCCATATCAAGTTCAGTGTAGGCATGGCAAGGACAGGTCAGTAGTCATTTGAGGGAATGCATCCTCCCAAACACAAGGCAGACATTCATCTCCCGAGGCACTGGCTCCCATCCAGTACACAGGGCTGGCTGCACAGCCATTGAAGAAGGCTGGTTTTAGGGTAATAGAGGGTGGTACTGGAGGCACAGCTGATGAGCTGCAGGGACAGCCTGGGGCTACCCTCAGATCTCAATCCTCCTACCTATGAGTCCCATGCAGCTGGGATGATAGGAATGTGCCACCAGGCCCGGCTATCTTTGTTGAAGTGGAATCTCACTCACTTTTTGCCCTGGCAGCTTGGAGCTGCAATCATCCCAAGCTCTGCCTCCTGAGTAGCTAGAAGAACAAGCAAGAGTCATAGGTCATGCCTCTGGGTGTCTTTCTCAGACCTAGGGCAGTTGTAGTATTCCCTCCTGACCTAATCACAGGCAATGGGAGGAGTAATTTTGCTGTAATTTGGACAGATTCCTCAGCTCACAGATGGGGTTCACAACTGTTCCCTCTGCTAAAGAGGACTTCCTTAGCCTTAGTTTTTCTCATATGATAAATGATAAACTTGTAGTAGATCAGTGAGTCCCAGCCTGGAGTCACCTGGAATGCTTTAAAAATTAACAGGACACAGGGTGGGGGTGTGGCTCAGTGGTACAGCATTGCCTAGCATGCATGGTAATCTGGATTCCATACCCAGCCCAAAAATATGTAAATACATAGCTGAAGCAAATCTTGTACCTTATGGCACCTGTAACAACTCTCCCAGTGATTCTCATGCTCAATTTAAGCTGACAATCCTGGGAAAAGGTCCTGCAGCCAGGGCCTCATTATCTCTATGAGCAGAAATGGTGATCCCAGGTGTAACACAGCTGGTCTGCACTGGGCTCTGACACTGCAGTTCAACAGCTTCTGGAAGGCAGCCCTGCCTCTGCTATCTGACTCTATTTAGAGAAATAAGGCTACTTCCAAGTGTTTATTTTCCATGTTTTGCTTAATTTTTTGAGACTCTGACATATATAGGAACTGATTCTAGCTACAACGCAAAGTGTTTGCCTTCCTACTGGGTGCTGGTGACTCACAACTGTAATCCTAGCTACCCAGGAGGCAGAGATCAGGAGGACTGTGGTTTGAAGCCAGCCTGGGCAAATAGTTTGCAAGACCCTATCTCAAAGATCTACCACAAAAAAGGGCTGGTGGAGTGGCTCAAGGTGTAGGCCCTGAGTTCAAACCCCAGTAACAGCAAAAAAAAAAAAAAACCTTGCCTTCCCCCAAAAGCAGCAGAGACAGGTGACCAGGAGACAACTAAGGACAAGCAGAGGACTCTAAATACCATCCAAATGTGTCACAGGAGGAGACTTACCAAATAGTTTAAAGAAGTCTTCATCCAGATTATTTTAATTTGTGGAAAATTTATCATTTGAACCTGTGGAGAAAATAAGCCTTATCTGTGATTAAATCTTTCACTGGATCTGGATATATGGTCATTACCTGTATCCCTTAGTAAATGAGCTAAGACCCCAGTGGAGGCCCAAAACTATGGATAGTACTGAGTCCTGTCTATGTTTTTGTTTTGTGTTTGAGGCTGACCTTGAACACTCAGTCTTTCTGTCTCAGCCTCCTGAGTGCTGGATTATAGCTGGAAGTCACTAAACCTGGCTTGTTTGGTGTAAATCACCAGTAACCCCCTGAAGGACCATATCACAAAAACCCTTTGGATTTTAAGTGTCCTGAGAAGAGTAGTCTCCTTCTCTCCTTTCTTGCTATCCATCTTACAGCCAACCATTTCAAACGATGCATCCCCTGATCTGTGGCACTTAGAGGCCTTCTTCCAATGTCTTCATACACCTACTGAAATCTGTCAAGTGACAGTTTCATTTTGTGACTTTGAGGTGTGTAATTGTTGGCAAACAATACTGGATTTCTGCACTACAAGTTTTGTGTTCACACTTCAGACTTTCCTTACAGATTGAGAGAATTTCCTGGAATGTGGCCAGCTAATCAGTCTTGTAAATAGCAAGACCTCCAACACGGAGGAAAACTGATGTTCACTTTGAAACAACTATGTTCAAAACAGTGATATTCACAAGAACAATATTTCCATCACTTCATAAACAGAAAAATGAAATGTAGCACATTGGGAAATTCCAAGATGGCAACTAGAGGGAGGAAGCAGAAAGCATGCTTCCTAAGGTAAAATCTTAGAGAAATGTTGGAGAAACACTTTGCAGGAAAAACCACCAAGAAGAGGCAAAACTCAGACTCCTCCATATGACCAGCCCGTGCATAGCATCCCCACTCCATGTTAAATGGAGAAACCAGGAGGGCTCCAGTGCTGCCATATGCCAGTTCCTACTGGCTCAAGAGAAGCAGACCACCAGGTGAGCTAAGTGGCACACGGTACTCCCACAAACAACCCTGGGCCAGATCAGCATAGCCCTGGACAGACTGACCCCCACCCAGGGAAAATATAGAGAAAAAACAAACTGAATAAACAACAACAAAAAAAGACACATAGCAAAGAGGGCAGGGCACCCTGTGCACCAAAGGCAAAGAGGGGCAATCCCTCACAGAACTGTAAATAAACAAGACAGCCAGAGAAGGCAGGAGTGGCAGCACACACCCAGCAAGCAGGAATGGGAAAGCTTGTGAGAGTGGTGGTGGGAGGAAAGCTCCACAGGAGAGGGGGGAAGGTCCTCTTCCCACATGAAGTATAAACAAATGAGCCACACGGAAAAAGCAGAAGCAGTGGCACCCGCCCAGCAACCAGGAGCGAGAAAGCTTATAAAAGTGGTGGTGGGAGGAAAACTCCACAGGAGAAGGGGAAAGGCCCAATTCCCACGTGAACTGTAAATAAATATACCGGCCTGAGAAAGCAGGTGCAGTGTCACCTCTCCAAGTGTGCTTGCAAAGGGGAAAGCTTGTAGCATTGGCGGTCACACCCTGGAGAACTCTAAGTAAGCAAAACCTGCAGGGCTAGGTGAGTGTTTAGCTCACTCCTGAGATCTGCATAAATAAAGCCTTCTGCAACAGCAGGCTGACAGCAGCAGGCAGGTGAGCCGCAGCCTCAGATAGACATTCACAGAACTGTCTCCAGACATTTTTTTGTCTGTTCCTTTGATGAGACAACAACCGAACTACACCTGCATGCTGAAAAACTTACTGAAACTGTATTGCATTTGAACTTGGGAAACTTTGTGGTGTTTTTTTTTTGCTGTTGTTTTGCTTTGTTTTGTCTTGTTTTGGTTTTTTCCCCTTTGATGAGAGGACAGAACTACTTCTGAGACAACATCTCCAGGATTGGAGGCTGAGAGACTAACACCAAAATTATTTAGACTGAAACTTTATTGCATTTGAACTTGGAGGTTTTTTTTTAATTCTCTCTCTGCCTCTTTAATGCCTGTTTAATTTACTGTTGATTAGTACACTTTCTCTCCCTGTTTATATCTTTGAAACTTTTGTTTATTTATTTGTTTTGTTTTTTTACTTGTTTGTTTGTTTATCCTTTTTCTTTAACTTCTTTGCTTTCCCTCTCCTCTCACCCTTCCATCCTAAATATCACCATTGTTTGTAATGTAAGCTAGAAAATATTTAATTCCACACAGTACAGGGACAATAACAACACCAAGGGCAGACAGGAAGACAGAAAAAACAGGGAAAATAGTTTCCCCACAGCAAAAAATTAGAACAGGAACCAGAAGGATATGAAGAAAACAGATACTCAGATCCAGACTCTAACAAAATGATGATAAACTATGCCAAAGAACCCAATGAATTCCATAAGAACAATCTGAAAGAAGAAATCCTACAGGTAATCAATGAGAATTTTATAGAGATGATACTGGATATCATCAACCAAAAGGTACAGGAGACACTCAAGAAATTCCAAGATAACAATAATAGAGAATTTGAAAAACACAAGAAGAAATAAAAGAAACCATAGATGCACTGTATAAACACCAAAGTGAAGCAAAGAACATGAATAATAAAGAGATAAATGAACTCAGGACAAAAATAGACAACATTGAAGAGGAAGGGACTCAGGATATGGAAATCCTCAGAAAAAACAATGAAACTGAATTGCAAAACAAAATGGAAAGTCAATCCAGCAGAACAGAACAAACAGAAGACAGAATCTCAGAACTTGAAGATGAAATGGTAATTAAAGGAAAAACTGAAGAACTATTGGTTAAACAATTCAAGACCTGTAAAAAGAAAATTCAAGAACTCATTGACCTTCAAAAGATCAAAGCTGAGAATCATGGGCATTGAAGAAGGAGCAGTGGTGCAAGCAAAGAGAATGCATAATATCTTCAAAAAAGTAATAACAGAAAATTTCCCAAATCTAGAGTAATCTATTATCATAGATGATGCAAGAGGCCTCCAGAACACCAAACAGAACAGACCAAAAGAGAACTACCCCACACCATATTATCATTAAAACAAGAAGTACAGAGACTCGAGAAAGAATATTGAAAGCTGAAAGAGAAAAAAACAAATAACACAAAGGTAAACCCATCAAAATCACAGCAGACTTCTCAACAGAAGCATTAAAAGGAAGAAGAGCTTGGGGTGAGATCATCCAGGCACTGAATGAAAATAAGTTCAACCCTAGGATACTCTATCCAGCAAAACTATCATTCAAAATGGATGGAGCAATAAAAGTCTTCCATTGATAAGCAGAAACTAAAACAATATGTGACCACAAAGCCACCACTACAAAAGATTCTTCAAGGGATTCTGCACAGAGAAAGTAAAACCCAACACAACCATGAAAGGGTAGGCAGTGCAAAACTACAGGAAAAGAAAAAGCAAGAAAGTAGAGAGTAATATTGATTTAGCTACACACAATCAAACCCTCAAACAACTAAGACAACTAAATGACAGGAGTTACCACATGATTATCAGTACTAACACTTAATTTTAATGGACTTAATTCCCCCATCAAAAGGCACCATCTGATGAACTGGATTAAAAAGGAAGACCCAACAATTTGTTGCTTACAGGAGACCCATCTCACTGACTGAAATAAGCATAGGCTTAGGATGAAAGGCTGGAAGATTTACCAAGACAATGGCCCCTGAAAACAGGCAGGAGTAGCATTACTTATCTCTGACAAACCTACATTGATCAAACTAGATGAAGAAGGACATTCCATACTAATAAAAGGGGAAATAGACCAAAAGGAAATAACCATTATCTACCTATATGCACCCAATGTCAATGCATCCAATTTAAACAAACATGCCCTGAAGGACATAAAAACATATATAAACTCCAACACAGTGGTAATGGGAGACCTTAATAACCCCTTTATCAACAAAAGATAGGTCATCCAAACAAAAAATCAATAAAGAAATCCTAGAATTAAATCACACTATAGATCAAATGGACCTAACAGATGTCTACAGAATATTTCATCTAACTTCTGTACAATATACGTTCTTCTCAGCAGCTCATGGACCCTTTGCTAAAATTGATCATACCTTAGGGCAAAAACAAGCCTCAGCAAATATAAGAAAATAGAAATAATCCCAGACATTCAATCTGACCACAATGCATTACAGCTAAAAATCAACAACAAAAACAACAGTAAAAAAATGCAAACAATTGGAAGCTGAACAACACATTGCTCAATGATCAATGCATCATTGATGAAATAAAAGAGGAAATTAAAAGTTTTCTGGAAGTTAATGAAAATAAAATACAACCTACCAGAATGTATGGGAGACAGCAAATGCAGTCTTAAGAGGAAAGTTTATAGCCATGAGGGCATATATAAAATGGCAGAAAGATTTCAAATCAATGATCTAAACTACAGCTCAAACTCCTAGAAAAAAAATAACAAGCACATCAAAAAACAAGCAGAAGGAGAGAAATAATTAAAATAAGGTCTGAAATCAATGAAATAGAAACAGAAAAAAAACCATACAAAGAAACAATGAAACAAAAAGCTGGTTCTTTGAAAAAATCAATAAGATTGACAGACCCCTGGCAAACCTGACTAAAATGAGGAGAGAAAAAGCCCAAATCAGTAAAATCAGAAATGCAAAAGGTGAGATAACAACAAACACCATGGAAATCCAGGAAATCATCAGAAACTATTTTGAGAGCCTATACTTTAATAAATTTGAAAATTTAGAAGAAATGGACTTCTAGATATTCATGACCATCCAAAACTGAACCAAGAGGATACTCATCACCTGAATAGATGTATAACACAAAACGAAATTAAAGGAGCAATTAAGAATCTCACAAAAAAGAAAAGTCCAGGGCCTGATGAATTCACTGCTGAATTCTATCAGATGATTATGAGGAACCAATAACAACTCTTCTTAAACTGTTCCACGAAATAGAAAGGGAAGGAAAACTGCCTAACAACACATT